TAGCAGCAGTGCGACTTCCCCCTCAAAATCCCATTATAGTGTAGTAATTTGCTCGACCCGACCGATAGCTGCTACCTTGACGTGGTGGTCGGGCTTGCATATCACAATGACCCAACGAGCTATGCTGGTGGAACGCTTGTTCCCTCGAGGTCCTACCATACCAGAAAGGTCTGTTGGGTAGTGGTTAGACGAAAAGCAGTTACCGTTATAGTGTAAATTGCTACACTATGATGGGGGTCTGAGGGCGAAGTCGTACTGCTGCTAGCTGGATGGGGTGTGACAGCAGTAAGGTGTTTCCCTTGGATGACCAGCAGTGCCATGCTGATGCTGCCTTCTCAGTGGAAGGGGGGGTTAGAAAAGGTCGGCCCCAAAAATAACACACTCCACCACGCCCCACGGTCTGCCGGGCCGGCGGTGTTGGTTCACTTGTCGTTTCCTTTCGCTCATCCGGCCCCAAAAATACAAAAATTCAAAATAATCATACTCAAAAGGCTGGGTGTGACAGGCCTCAAGCAGATGTCCGATGGGCTCTGCGGTCACACAAATCTCTTTCAGGTACCTTAAGAAGAAATAGCCTTCCACGGTGTGGGCAGCCGGGAAGTGTCAACCGCCCTCACAACTCTGTCAGCACCCAAGTTTCTTCTGACTGCTATCCTCCTCCTCCATCATTACCTTCTAATCTTCCTTCACGTCTCTTAATTAATGATGCTGCATCATCTTCAATTTCTCCTACCTCTGCAGCCTTCGACAACGATCTGAGTCCACAGAACAGCGTCCCTGGTCTCCTTAAACCACGCTCCAAATTACATATTGGAGCCTTCAATGTCCGCACCCTCCGTCAAATTGGCCAACAGGCTTCGTTGGCAAAGACTCTAGCAACTCGAGGCATGGATGTGTGCTGTGTTTGTGAGACACGCATACAGGACCCAAGTGTGGTTATTCACCTGACCTCTCCTGACCAATCTGGTGAATCTGCAAAATTCACCCTTCGAGTTTCTGGAGATTCGATAGCTAGCTCTCGTGGTCTTGCAGGTGTAGGTATAGCATTAAGCACCAGGGCAGAAAACTCACTACTAGACTGGATCCCAGTTGATAGTCGCCTCTGCGCTATGAGGCTGAACGGCACAGTGAGAACTAAAAGGAATAGTGAGACTCGCCGTTGTCTCTTTGTAATCTCTGCTTACGCACCCACTGACTGTAGTTCGGATGAAGTGAAGGACGAGTTCTACCATAAACTGTCTAACCTCCTCTCGAAAGCCAAACGTTCGGACGTAGTGGTTGTTGCAGGTGACCTCAACGCACAGGTGGGTAGACTGAGTGAGGCAGAAAGGCACTTAGGTGGCACTTTCGGAATCCCAGCTGAACGTACAGATAACGGTGATCGCCTATTACAACTATGCTCAGATAACCGCCTATTTTTAGCCAGCACAAATTTCAGACATAAAGAAAGGCACTGTCTGACCTGGCGTCCACCGAGCTCGACTCAGCGATGGACACAGATAGACCACATTGCTATTAGTCATCGCTGGAGAGGATCGGTGGAAGACTGCCGCTCCTTCTGGAGTACGTGTTTGGACAGCGATCATGCGTTGGTCCGAGCACGTATATGCCTGCGTCTCAATGGACGTAGAAAAAATTTGGCAACAAAACCACTACGAGTTCTGCTGGACAACGAAAACACCAAAGCCGTGTTCAGTGAGAAGTTGGCTAGGCAGTTATCGGAACAAAAGACTGTCACTCATCCAGAAGAAGCTTGGTGCCATCTTCAGTCTACTGTAAAAGCAGCACTGGAGACTGTAGCCGACTCCAAGATAATGGCTAAAAAGAGCCAGTGGATATCAGCAGCTTCTTCCAAACTAATGGATGCACGTGAATGCATCCCTGCAGGCTCTGAGTACAATGAAGAGCGAGCGCAACTTAAAAATAAACTGACGAAAAGTCTGCGCAACGATCGTGAACAGTGGTGGGCAGCAAAGGCTAAAGAGATGGAAAAGGCAGCGGCGATCGGTAACAGTAGACAGTTATTTAGACTTATTAAGGAGACTGGGGGGAAATGGTCAACAACAGTTAGTGAGGTTATAGCGGAGAAGGACGGATCGGCGATTCACTCGCAGGGAAGGCGACTGGGACGATGGGCAGAACACTTTGAGGAACAGTTTAACTGGCCTCCAGCCACCATTGCGCTGCCCGCTATCCAGTCGGACCCTGAATGGGACATAGAGACAGGTCCCCCAACACTAGAAGAAGTTGAGAAAGCGGTAGGTAGCCTGAAACGGGGAAGGGCAGCAGGACCAGACGGACTACCTGCTGAGGTATACAAGAATGGTGGTAGAGTTCTCTTAGTCAGGCTAACGGAAGTGTTAGCCAGTATATGGGAATCAAATACGATCCCCTCCGACTGGTCTAAGTCACTCATCATCCCAGTCTTCAAGAAAGGCGAGAAGTCCTCTTGTGATAACCACAGAGGAATCAGCCTGACAAACATAGTGTCTAAGATCCTAAGTTCTATAATTCTCCGACGCCTGAGTGGAGCTCGGGAACAGCAAGCCCGAGAAAACCAGGCAGGCTTTAGACCTGGCCGTGGATGTATCGACCAAATATTCACACTGCGCCAGGTCCTGGAACATAGGCATGCTTACAGACGCCCGACAATAGCTGTATTTCTCGACCTGAAGGCGGCATTTGACTCCGTTGATCGAGAAGTCTTATGGCAGTGTCTGTCACTGAAAGGCGTGCCTAGTAAGTACATCACCTTATTGAAAGCTCTCTACTCGAACACTTGTGGGCATGTTAGAGCCTATGGTGAGTTGTCCAGGGAGCTATACTCATCAAGTGGTGTCCGTCAAGGATGCCCACTATCCCCATTCTTATTTAATTTTATCATAGATATTCTTATGGAGGTTTCCCTCTCGTCACCTAATTACAAAGACGTTGACCGGATCACAGGTGAATTTTCCTTAGATCTAGAATATGCAGATGACATAGTCCTGTTAGGTGAAGACGCTGACAAGATGCAGAGTCTTCTGAACACTTTGAGTGGGAATTTGAGAATGTTTGGGATGCGATTTTCACCACCCAAATGCAAATTTTTGCTCCAGGACTGGTCTTCAGCGGTACCGCGGTTAACAATAGAGAGTGAAGTGGTTGAGTGTGTTGACCACTTCACTTACCTGGGAAGTAGGATCAACCCGGTGGGTTAGTTGCCGATGAGATTTCTGCACGGATACAAAAGGCTCGATTGGCTTTTGCCAATTTGCGCCACCTATGGCGCCGCCGTGATATTCGTTTGTCTATTAAGGGTCGCGTGTACTGCACAGCAGTCCGCTCTGTTCTACTGTATGGCTGTGAAACATGGCCATTGAAAGTGGAAGACATGAGAAGGTTACAGGTATTTGACCACCGTTGCCTTCGTAGTATAGGACGTATTCCGTGGTGTCACCATGTGAGTAATGCAGAAGTTAGGTGTAGAGTTTTAGGGAGAAGAGGTAAGTCAGTTGACGAGGTTGTGAACCTTCATCGACTGAGATGGTTGGGACACGTACTACGTATGCCTAGTCACCGATTGCCTCGTCACACAATGTTGGCTGAGGTGGGTTCAGGCTGGAAAAAGGCCCGAGGTGGCCAGACTAAAACATGGCACCAATGTATGAAGTCTCTGACTGTTGGTTTAAGCCATGTAGGACGATGCAGACTAGGTGGTTGGGGTCCACGGGACAAGAGGAACCAGTGGTTGGAGACCCTAGGTGATATGGCTCAGAACCGAAGTCAGTGGCGCAGATGTATACACACATTATCCTCATCTTAACAACGCTATACCGAATCTCACTATTTTGTCACTCCTCTTTCCTTTCTCATACTTTATATTTCTTTTGACTGCATTCACTTATCTTCATCCTTCACCTCACTACCTTTTTACTTGATGTGCTGATATGAGGTGTGGCAACTCGGACCGTTACGCAGTAATGCCTGGTCCTATGTTGATAATGATGATGATGATGAGTAATTTGCTCTGCAACGGTAACTGCCTTGAATCTAACCGCTATTCCACAGACCATTGTGATACGGTAGGACATCGAAGTAACAAGAATCTCACCGACGTCGCTCGTTGGATCATTGCGAGATGCAAGCTGGACCACTACATCGAGGTAGCAGCCATCGGTCGGTATCAAACCACCCTTGGCAACTTGTTAAAGCTAAGTTACTAAAGGTGATCTAATGTGGCGACGACACCGAATTGTATTTATCAGCTTAGATGTGTTTGTGATCTCATATGTACCGACAAATCGGTCTTTGCATGTAATTGCTATAAAACACATTCCGAAATAGCTACATCTAAGAACCAAATAGTATTTTTGACCAAAGGGACAGAGTAGAGCAACGTAGAACCGTGCCCAATGTATCCGTTCAGGCAGCAACACTTCTTATCAGCATGTAAAGTACATGTTGCCATCAAATGATTCATATCAAGGTAGACAGACTTTTATGGGAGGAGAAAGATTTTGAAACTTAAGGTTGGCAAAGCTGTTCCCACTGCTGAAGACATCAAAAGTCAATAAGTTTGCCCCACAGTCATCGGTTTTCAGTGGTTTCACCAATGTTCTGTGGTCGTTAATCCCTATCCTTTCGAGTACCCCAACCAGACAGTCTCCACTTCCCTACGCCGATCAAAGCAACAGATAGAGACTTTATCGACTGAAATCACGTCTAGATCCGACCATTCATAGCTTTCCTTGAACCCAATCCTACTTCACTAAATATCTAACTTTTAGGTCGGCGGTGGGTCGACATGCGCAACATATATCTGAGCTACCTCCGTCGTCATTAACCACTTGTCTTATTTGGGTTTAAATCGATCGTTTATCCTTATTACGAACTGCTTATTGTGATGATGCAAGTATTTTATAGAATTTATATGCACTTTTCTGGTTATTTGGTCGTAGTTCATTTCCTTTATAGTCCGTAAACTAAAGTTATTTGTTTCTGTAATATTCCTTTGATAGCTGCGAATGTCCTACTTTCCTATAACGGCGATGTAAAGCTAGCTGATTTTGGCGTTGCCGGTCAATTGAGCTCAACTATTACTAAACGTGGTACCTTTGTGGGAACACCATTTTGGATGGCCCCAGAATTAATTCAGCGATATGCCTATGATTTCAAGGTAACCTATTTATGGTATTGTCTATTGGTCTTTTTGCAATTATATATTTTTGTGTATTTGGCTGTAAATTTATTTTTCACTTGTAAATTCAAATTGGTAGATATCATAGTTAGCGCACTATTGCGTAACGACCACTATAAACATTCAAATGTATCCGAGTAAAAAAGCCATTATAAAATAACTCTTAGTTGGTCAATAATCATTACTTACAAATAGACCTCTGAACTCCAATATTAGATACATCATACTTGCGACCATGTTTCAATGACCTATTGGATGAAGTTCGCATAACCTTGATGTTATCATATAGTCTGTTGGTTTTGCGAATGAAGAGTTCCTATGAACATTAGGTCTACAGCATCACCACGTACATCCTTCGTATCTATCAAAATGAAACAGAGATCGAGCAATCATGCGTAATCCCATCGCTGATTTAGAAACACAGAGGTGACTTTATGCTGAAATGTTAGGTGCTATTTTAGAGTGGTGACTAAGCGAACCTCAAAAAGCAACTTAAAATGCCGCTTGATTTGAATATTAAGTGATGAAGTTAGTAATTCAGGGGAGGGTAGCTGGGCACGCATAAAAACAGTGACCAGTATTAGGTTGACCAAACTTCTGCTATGTGGCCACTCAGCGAAGTGACACGACACTTTGGTGCACTGTATCTTGGCTTTAGATGGCTGGAGTCAATAGGCAAGAAATCCTTGATGCGTCCACTCGATTGACTTGCATTATCTAATACTTCTGTACTTCTCTAGATTTTTTCTCTGCGATCTGTGATTGCAAGGCCGACTCACTTTAATCCAATCTAACCCGGTTCAGTTGTTAATACAAGTAATTCGTACAGCCACTTTAAAATAACACATGAGCTGTTGGGTTTAACTTCTAATGTAGTGTGTGCTTGGTCAAGTACCTGGTTTATTACCCAGTTATCACATTATTGTTCAATGCATAATACATCATATTTCACACTTACCGTTCTTGATGGTCTTGTCGTTCAAATGCAAACGGAGGCTAATTAGATAAAGAAAGCTACCAATTACTGCTTAGGTTACCTGAAACCATCATTGAGAGCGTGAATCTACAATTCGGTAATCACTGGTAATAGTCCTCTGGCAACCCAGATTTCCAATCAGCTTCGGTTGTCATCTCTTTTTTTGTACTATTTGACTCGTTAAGCAACTCAAATGGTTACAAGATAAATATTATTGTGGGTCCAAGAATATTTTAGCATTTCCATTTGTCTCTTCCCATCTCCATTCTTTCTGGAAACAGTCGATCATACTGCTCACTTGGTTTTTAGGTTGATATATGGTCTACTGGAATTACAGCTATTGAATTAGCTAAAGGTGAACCTCCGAACGCTGATTTGCACCCTATACGTGTTCTCATGCTTATTCCTAAGAATCCATCGCCTCAGTTGACCGGAGATTTCAGTAAAGTATTCAAGGACTTTGTAGATTGTTGTTTGACTAAAGTCCCGGAGAATGTAAGTCCTAAAGCATTCTTTATAAACTTTTGTAAAAAAATGATTTATCTATTATTTGTCTTTCTGTTTTTCTTTTTATCTCTTGAAGCATGATTTGTATGTAGTATAAGTTTCCACTTCGGAACTATTTGACTTAGTATGTATATTTGTGTAATCAACAAGTTACGACATTGTAGTATGCCCACTTTTTGGAAGTAATTACCATTGTGTTGAGGTTTCGTAATTCTTATGAAGGATTCAAAATAACAATAGTCATAATCGGTTAATAACTGGTGTCTTTCATCTGGATTTCCCAGTGGATAACGTTTTGGATATATATCATGGCTTTCTTTGTGTGCTTAGTGATGGAGTTGTGGCTTATTGGTTTAGGGAGATGACCTCAAACTAGTGGGCCACGGGTTCAAGCTACGGACCACCTACCTAGGTTTGGGCAGCCAGGTAGTATCATATACCCTCACGCAATGGGTGTGGCCCATTGCCTACTGCACGAATGGTCACAAGGTTGTTGAGAGGATTTTGATTTTGCTTAGTCATGCAAAGAAGCGAACCACCACACTCTTGCACTAAAAACTGCGCTGGTGTTTATAGTTGTTTAAAGCCACTTAGTATGTTTCAGGCGATTACAGATTAAATACTTAGTAACTATAGCAGTCCATTGAATAGTGTTACTCGAACATCAGAGATTCATAAATAGGACAGTTGTATAAGTTGATGAGAGTAATGGTTTTATGTGCATAGACATTAAAGCACTGGAGAATGTGGAAGTGTGTGAAACAGTTTTTTATTAGGTCAGACGTCGAAGTGAATATATACCGTAAGGGATTAGGACAGGAAAAACAGTTAATATGATTATCATGTATATACCTCCTTATCGTTTCTGGTAGCACCGTTTTCACATAGCGTAAAAATCCATTTTTACATCTTTTCATCTTTTGAAAGGCTTCAAAATAATAAATTCGTTTAATTTATCGATGGAAGTTGCGTTTATCACCATGAACCTTGTATTCTATCTCCTGTGGTGTTCTTTGGTCAGATTGTTTATGCGATTGCGAATATGGTGTAAATACACCTCTTTCTTATTCATCATATGATGCAACATCTGTTAAACCCATATATGTTTATTGTTCGGACTGATGTGAAGGTATTCATTCCGTTAAATTACTTTTTTCCAGACTACTGACGTTTTTATAGATTTTTGACTTCAACGTTGATAATGTCTTGTCTTTTCCTATGATCAAATAGGTGTATTCCGCTATTCATAATGTGTTGATAAGTGTCTGCATGAGTGTGTTAAGTGTATCAGCAACTGTTTTTATGGGAGATTTGTGATGCAAATAAGTGACCCGGCACAGTTATATGCACCGAGTTATCAGCTACATTTGGGCCAACAGTTATCCAGGTCGAATTCGGTACGCCTAGATTGAACCCGCAACTGGGTAGTTGGTAATCAAATGCTCGGACCGATAAACCACAACTTCCCTATATGTTATATTTTCCTGTGAAAATTGTTTGTTGCCAATGTTTCAAGGCGCATTGACCTTCACGGATGTGCTCTTATAGAAAAAAAAACTGGTTAAGTGAGAATGAACTTTCTTTGAAAGAAAGCCGTTTCAGTAGTTTTTCCGCTAAAGAAAGACTAATTTGGTATTGGCTTGGTGGTCACGTTTTCAGTAAACCTTAACTGTTTGTCGTACTGACAGCATGTTCAAAATTACGTTGTAACCAAATTAAAGTTAGCCAATCATTATCAATATCAGACCTAGCATTACTGCGAAACGGTCCAAATTATCACACATTACACCACAACAAAATATGAAGCTATACGATAAAAGTCTAAGCAGTTGAAACAATATGCTAAAGAGTCATAGAACGCCTTTAGGTGGAAAAAAGAGTTAAAGCAGATCTATTTTCACTCATACAATCTAGAGCTTCCAACCATGAACATGAGTTTTCACTTGACCCCGAACCGGGAAGCCTGCATCTTACATGGCTCTAACCAGTAGTTGAAACCTTCATAGGTTGATATCACGTCTAGCCACGTCTTACCACCCTTCAATATTTTGTGACCTAAACTTACTTCCGCTAACCTAACGTCAGCGTACGCAATTACTCGGCATGCATAGCAAATATCTCCGCTAAATTATGCTGAATAAAATTAAGTTGTCTGTTTCACGATCATAGATTAACCTAATCTTAGTCAACAACCAAGACCGCAAGTGATTCAGGTCTCATTAACACGGTACGATAAGACTTAGATACAGGATTCTCCCCTTCATTTTTTTGTGCATCTGAACACAAGGATATTCATAAAGTGACATGGATTTCACCAGATAAACACAGTAAGAACCAGATCGACTACATTTCAATCTGAAGAAAGTGGAAACGCAGCCTACTGGACACAACATCGAAAAAGAGCAGATGTAGGTTGACACTATTCTTTTTCTAGTTCAGGGAATTCTTTAGACACCTGCCATCGGTACTGGACAAAATATCACCACGGATGGCGACATCAATACTCACTCTAATGGGTGGGGTGACAAGAATGCCGAACAGGGAGCGGACAACACAGGAAGAGAACCGGTCATCGGTCGAGAAGTGCTCAGTGAAATGAATGATAATGGAGAATCGTTTGCAGACTTCTGCGCATCCAACGATTTGGCGATTGGAGGCAGTGTGTACAAACACAGGGATATTCTCAGGGCAGCGACATGGACTTCACCAGACACAAGGACACACTAAAAATCAGATCGACTTCATTTCAACCTGAAGAAAGTGGAGACGCGGCCTACTGGACACAAGGTCAGATCGAGAAGAGGAGCAGATGTAGGTTCACACCACTCACTATTTAGTGCAAGGAACAAACCTGTCTTCAAAATCAAGTTGAAAGCCTTCAACGAAGTTGGTGATAGACCAGAGAGTTCAAGTTCGACACCCAGAACACAAACTGAACTGAAGGATGGAACTAAAAAGGACATCTTCACGTCAGTCGGTTATCAGGAAAGAATGGGAGGCATTAAGCAGCATCGCCGCAGAAACCTGCATGAAAGAACACTAAAACTCTTTGAAAGAGACATGGAAGGAAACCTGTATAACCGTATTAGGAAGGAAGAAGAAATAAGACAAGGAATGGATCTCGACGAACACATGGAAGCCAATAGAGGAGGGGGAGGAAGACGGTGAAGCAGAAGATGAACCAGTGCAGTACAGGGATACACAACGAAAAGAGGAACTGAATACAACCTACAAAACACTGGACAAAGAAGCGAAGAAGAGTGAGCGGAAAGACAAAAGACACTTCTACGATACACTGGCAAGTGAAGCAGAACAGGATGCAGGTAAGAGAGACACATACATGACAGCATTATATCAAATAACCAGGTCACTTACTGTCTGAGAGGGAAGAGATCAACACAGCGCAGATGAAACAAATGAAAGATAGTGAAGGAAGCCTAGTTAGCAAAGAGGAGAAACGAAGGAAATGATGGACTGACCGCTTCGAAAAACTCTTGAATCGATCACCAGCTGCAATTCGTCCAGAAATACCACCAAGAACTCAGCCACAGAATATCCAGTGCTCACAGGCCAATCGACAAAAGCCGAAGTCCTGAACGCCATAAAGTTGCTGAAATCCGGGAAAGCAGCGGGACCAGGTGGAATTCCACCAGAAACACTGAAAAAAGACTCAGAGACAACAGCGGACATTCTCGCTCCACTACTGTAGAAGGTTTGGAAGGAAGGGAAGGAAAGGTACCTGTCGATTGACTGGAAGAAGGACTACCTCGTCTGAGGACTCTCGGTAACATGGCTGAAAATCGGTCACAATGGTGCAGATGAACTCACTCCTTGACACCTTCTAAAAGTTGAATATTTGCACTAACCTTTAGCTTCAAATTGCTTATTCTTTCAAACAACTTTGATATCACTTTTTCTATCCACGTGTTCTTTGTGTACTACTGTGAAGTGTGGCAACTTGAAGCGATACGCTTGTGCGTGAGGTTTTTTTTGTTTATTCTATCTGTCTGTCTTCGGTCCCATTCTATAGCTGGTTGAGAATTTTGCTTGTCATTAAAATGTAAGTACTACTGAGGTTCTTTCTTACCTTTTATCAACCATGTTTGTAAGTTTTGATTTTTGGCGAAACCTATATTTATGCAATATACATTACTGAATGATGTAAGTAGTTATCGACAACTAACATCAATGTACAGCGCTTGCAATCCAGACTGAGCTGATCAAACGCAGACTGACGACATGTAGGATCTAATCAAGTCTGCATAAGCTGCATTGTTCAAGGTGCATTTTTTTAAGATAACGTTACACCTGATTCAGAAATTTAGCTGTGATATTTTGGAAACTGAAATAGTAAGACCATATTATGTGGTCTGTAACTACTTATACCAATAAATGGTTTGCATCATGCAACCCTTATGCGTGTTATTTTTATACTACTACTACTATACTCACGGAGATCAGGTACTGCATGTGGTCTGCGAATTTCATCTCTAAAAAAACCTCTAAAATCTATCGATGCCGTTTTCACTTGATTTTATTCCCTGTGCTATGACTGTTAGTAGTTGGTTCCGCATTTCGTATCTACATTCTGTTGCTCATAGTTTCACGAAATGCTATCTTGTGACCATTTTCACCCGTCTTTATCAGGCTCAAGATTGAGTATATGATCGTCTGTCTCAGGTTGTTTAGGTCTTTTTTTCTTTGACAATAAAAATACGAATGTGTGTATATTCGTGAAACAAACCGAAACGGATGATTTAAACTTCATAGTGAACAATCTTGTTGGGATATTTCTTTGATTAATCGATAAGTTTCGATTGTTAATCTCACTTTCCAGCATATTATAAAAATGAAGTGATAACAACCATAATGATGATCTATTTTTGTCAAAAGTAAATAAAATCAATAGATAAAAGTTTCTTCATGTATCGAATAAGCAAGAATTTAATGCATATAGAAAGTATGCTTCTTGTACAATAAATATCCTATATAATGGGATGTTATAGGGGTAATAACTAAAAATGAAATAAATTGATCAGTATAGCTGGAGATAATTTTATTTTTGTTTAATGTACCACAAATGATTCAATATTCTCT